TAGTATTATATCAGGCAAGCTGCAGACATTGCACTCGGTATATACATACACACTAGCTCCCATCCTTTCCCCATGTACGTTGTGGCCTGCACGTTGTCGCATGGCAATATATATATATACATCCAAAAGACCAAAAGTAGTAGAATCTGCGGCCTGAGTACTGTCCAAGCAATCTTTCTCATGGGCATCATCTGCTACTACCTCCGCTATATCCTTTATTTGTGGTTCTGGTCGTACCATCACGGTGTCAACTGACAGTATTTAACACTAGCCATATCCTAATGCGAATCATTACATGTATAACAAAACATGACAACAATAAGGACAGCTATATATAAAAATACCACTTTCATATACAAATCATTCCCATTTTTTCCAAGAAAATACCATAACCTTAGATATACATTCACTTATTATTAAGAAAGAAATAGTGGACACCCAGGCTTGAAAGCCTTCATTTAATCTAAGTTCGATTGTTTATACTAAATAAAATGCTAATTAGTATATGATATACTTCAAGAAAAATGAGAACAGGTGTTAGCACTAAGGCACTTGTTAATTTTGCAGTCGGAATGGATTTAATCAACTCTTGTTGAAGATGGGGTACGTACGGAGTTTTCCTGACTGATGACTATTTCTCTGTCTGATGTGAGAATATGACCCAGTAAGACATGAGCCTGTTGTCTCAATGATTGCATGTTTTCAGTCGTCTGAAGAATACATGCACATCCTTATTCTGCAGGCAGACTGCTCGATTGATGCGATCGGCACGCATACGTGCGGCGCACTAATGAGCAGTCCTGCGTGTGCGCATCCGTCAGTATTTGTAACGGTAGACAGCCGCCACGGCCAACTAACCAACAACTGCCCCCATGACCGGGGTCATCGTCTCATGCCTTCATTTCAACGCAGCGCGCAGCAAATGGTGCTAGCTTGCAGCGTGATCATGATCTACCAACGGATTATGGGCATCAGTGGCATAGTTGCAAAATAGGCAACCCGGGGATATTGCAGCTATGATAGAAGTGAGACAATACATTGTATAATATATGTTCACTATTTCTTGCCTATTTTTTTAAATACATTGCTGATCTTAATTTCTCATTTGTCGAGGACCCAAAAAAAAAAAAAGAAGAGGAGGCACACCAAAGAATCCAGAAGCAATCTAGTGGAGCATTTTAGCTTTAGATTAGAGGGATGCGCCAACATCCTCTCTTTCTTTTCCACCATGGTTAGCAATTCGGAGCCACTAGCGCCCGGACGTCCGGCGCCAGCAGCGCGTCCGGACGCGCCAACCGAACCGTGGCACAGGCCCACCAACGAGAGCATCCCATCTAAGCATCCCCGCGTAATAGAAAAAGTGAACCGAAACACTACCTGCCCGCGTAATGGAAGGGGAGAACGTGCGCTCGCGTCCGCGCCGTCATCCCCCGACACACCCCCTCCGCCGCCCCCGCCCCTCCCAAGTCTGAGAAGGATGCAAGGCAGTAGAAGGTGAGGAGGAGACACCAAGGCGAGGCAGAAGGCGAGGAAGGAGATGCAACACCTGATCTACTTTTGAAACATACAGATAGAACACTTGCAACATACGTCTGAAGATAGATGAAACGTTTGAAACATGCGTCTAAAACACTTAAAAACACATGAAACGCTCGAAAAACCATTGCAACACATAGGCAACATCCAGATAAAACACTTTGCAACATATGTGTAAAACACATGCAACATCCAGATAAACACACTTGCAACATACATACATCTGAAAAATAAAAACATTAGAAACTGACGTTTTTAACATAACTGTACAACAATTGCAACATCCGGATCTACTTTTGCAACATCCATACGAAACCCTTGCAACATACCTCTGAAACAACTGAAGCACTTGAAACACACGCTTGCAACATGCGCTTTTAGCGCAACGTCACCATGTTGTTTGGACGAATGGAGCTCGACGCCAGCTCGGAGCTCAATGCCATAGAGTACGTGGAGGTTGCCGGTGCGAAGGTCGGCGGCGGCACGGACCTCGATAGTGGCCGTGGAAGGCGGATGGAGCACGGCTGTGACGGGGGGCGCGACTCCGGGCAAATGAGGCACATGGCGCGGGCGGGGCTGTGCCTGCGGAGTTCGTCCCGTGAGCCGCAAGCGGGGGCGGCGCGGGCGAGCGAACGTCCCGCGAGCAGTGCAACGGAGTCTGTCCCGCGACGAGCGGGGGCGTACAATACAGAGCGGGCGAGCGACGCGAGCGGGGTACACGGATGAGTGGATGAGAATGAGCCTCGTCCAGACGGGAGTCACTTGTTTTTTTAGAATATGGAGAGGCGTGAGCCTCTACAGTAAAATTAAATTAACATTAACATCAATCAAGTTAAACAGATTACAGAACGAAGTTTAAGAAACAAAAAAAAAGGGTAAAAAAAGGGAAACACAGTAAGGAGAAAAATCTATATGGCTCTAAATATGTCATGGGAATATTTTAAAGTGTAGGATTTACATACCTGTTTGGCACAATATGTAGTGCAAATCTAAAGGCAAGTGTAAACATGCAAACTTTTTCAACAAACACACTTCTGTCATTTGAAATATATATATATATATATAATCACGTCCATAGTGCACCCATATATGTATTTTGTTGCAATAGTTGAGATTCGAACTCTATCTAGAAAAGTTCATGCACTAAAAGTCTACAAGACAAATTCCTAGTAATTTGGTCTTCTAGTGCACATGCACTCCAATTTTATTATTTTTACATGAATTTTCTAGACTAAGTTTGAATTTCAAATTTTACAACAATGTATATATATGGAGGCATAGTGAATGTACATCGTTTCAAAAATCTTCAAACGATGGAAATATATATTTTTTTGAAAAACTTGTGTCGGGTATCGATATTAAGGATACCCGAAGCAAGGAAGTTAACGCTCACACTGACTTTCCTGAATGGATCAAGACGTATTAAAACGTCTCATCTGACCCCAAGGCCGCGGGCTCCGTTTCACCCGACCTCGAGGCCGCGGGCTCCGTCTCACCCGATCCCTTGGGTGCGGGCTCCGTCTCGTCTGACCCTAAGGACGCGGGTTCTGTCTCGCCCGACCTCGAGGCCGCGGGCTCCGTCTCGCCCGACTCCAAGGACGCGGTTTCCGTCTCGTCCGACGGGGACCCATACCGCCGTCAACCACTCCAGGTCCAAGCGTATGGGCCTGGGTCAAAACTCTGACACCAGGGAAGAGACTGACATGCCTCGATGTAACCCGTGGCCATGATGGGTGATACATGGGGATTCACATCAAGAACAGTGTCGGCGTGGCGGTGCTGTTTTGCCTAACCCTCATACGGACGCTGATCGACAGTTCACCACGACGTCCGTCGGGACGGAGTGGAATGTCATGACCAGCAGATGACGCCTGCGCATGGCGTTCGTGACGAACAGGGCCACGATGTGGAGCCATCCCTGTTGACATATACATGATCGGCGGGACCCACATGAAGGAGAAGAATGACCTGACAACCCTGGAAGCTTTCTTCTCTTTCTCTTTCTTCCCTTTTCCTCCTCTGTAACCCGCGCTTTCCCTTCGTCTATAAAAGGGGAAGCAGGACGCCCCACGCTGGAGAGACACACAGAATAGAAAAACACAAGAGCACGACATGAGCACACGGCTGAGCGACAATCGAGCTCTCAGCACCAGTTCACTCCTTCCACCAGAGACTTGGGATCATTTCTCTCTCTCGTCTGTTTGTAACCCCTACTGCAAACCAAGTGCCGGTAACACGAGCAGCAGCGAATTGGACGTAGGGACGTTCCACGCGAACCAGTATAAACCCTTGTATCCTCCGAGCACACCATCCGAGCCAAACGCGTAAATACAAATTTACTCGTTGGTTGTCCGAAAACACCGACAACTTGCATGTTTGTCCTACATATTTTGCCCTCATTTATTTCAAGCACCTCAAAGATGTAAGTTGATCTCCAATTTGCATCATGGTGGATTTCCGAAAACACTGTAAGGCCCCGTTTGGATCCTTAGAATTGAATTTATTTTTTTAATAATCATAATTTAGACATATATTAATTAAGCTAATATGATTGTATATGCATTATGTTTGTATATTCTTGTTGGCTATACAAGAGAGATACTTATGTGTTATATTTCTACGGTACGGAAGCGAGTTGAAGAGTGTGTTATAAGTTGTAAAGTACTCCTTCCGTTCCAAATTATAAGCCGCTTTGACTTTTTTTATATCCATTTTGCTACGTATCTAGACAGATAAATCAAAAAGTCAAAGCGACTTATAATTTGAAACGGATGGAGTAGAAATATAGAATGATGATCTATAAAATCAATTTCCATCTTCTACCCTATGAATTTGAGATAGACTTATATATAATCTTTGAAAAGTTGTGGAATGTCAAATTCCAAACTAAATAGCCTAATTTATTAAGTAGATTTTAACTCCTCTAAATGAAAGGATCCAAAGGCCCCTTTTGTTTCGGTTGCTTTATACTAGCTAGGTTTAATTCATCTGATGATTAATACGCAACAAACACGAATCGTTTTGGTCTGGGCTGTGATGGAAAAGGGACCAATATATGTCAAATGCTAGACTAGAGGGGATCGATGCGGTTTGAAATTGATGCACAGGCTATATCTTGCATCATCATGTATATATAACTGATTAGATAGACCGCCTTTCTAAAAAAAATTAGATAGATCGTGGTTCCAGGTTCCCAAACGAAAAAAAAAACATCTTCATTTTCCTTGTAACAGAAACGGCGCATCTAACGGTTGATTTCAACACCCCAACTACCTGTCGCTTTCCACTCCTCTTGATGTCATGCACCTAGCGTCGTCTCCCCTCTCTCTCTCCGCGGCCCCTCTTTGTATATATAGCCAGCCTGAGTTTACCCCTTTGCAAAAGGCATTCGTCAATAAACATCGCCTGAACCTAATACCCTCCAGTTTTGCTTTCTTGCTTCACCTGCTGTGAGCTCAACAACCATGGAGGACTTAGTAGTCGGTAGCCCATCTTTCAGGAGCGTCCTTAGCTGCAGTGAAGGGCAGGCTCAATCAGGAGAGAGTTCTTGGACGGATTACTTTGTGGATTTCATGTTATCCGAGGAGGAGAAGAAGAGACAAGCAGATGCTAGTTCGTACTGCGCTACGGAAGACGAAGGCAAATATGATGGCGATGGAAGTTGCCGTGAGGAGGAGGAAGAGGAGGATTCCATGATCTCTGATGCCGCGTCTCATGCCCCATGGCCTACTGCCGCACTGCTACCTGGCAGGTACAAGGAGTTGAAGAAGCTCAAGAAGAAGCCTTTCAGCAAGGCCCTGGATCATGATGGTTCCCTGGAGGATACTGCAAGCTCTCCAGTGAATAGCCCAAAGGTTAGTTACATCTTACAAAGCATTATATTACTTTCCTCTTAATTTCTGTTGTTAATATAAAGTCAGACTGCTTGTGATGTTAATTTGGCTCTTTTTGGGTTCCTTCTTTAAGGTCAGTGTTGTGTCACAGCTGGAATTGAGTCCTAAAAGGAGGTGCAACATCAGGGACCTCACCAAGGTATGCTAGCTGGAAATTAATTCATCTCTTTTTTTTTAAAAAAAAGACAAACTTGAGCTGTATACAATATATATAGGAGTACTTGTTTGGTCATTACTACTATTTGTTGCTTGTAGAGCATCAATTTATTTCTTGGTTTCTTTTATTATATATAAAAGATTCTCTTTTGCATGAAGGGAGTTGGAATTGGCGATGATCACGGAGGAGAGGGGATGGACTGTACAGATGCAGCTATGGAAGGAGCGAGATTTGGTGATCAGAGTCAGACGAGTATAGCTCCATGTGCAGAGCTGAAGGACAAGGGGATTTGTTTGTTCCCCTTTTCCGTGCTGCTACACTACCATGGGCCAAACTGAGAAAAATCAATGTATGAATGAACAGCATATGTAGTGTTTCACAACTTACACTCTATGCATGTGTGGGATAAATGCCAAAAAAATGTGATACTGTGGATATGTTTTTCCTTAATGAAGATATGTGAATATTACTATTACTCGCGCGTACTCATGTGTCATGGTGGTTTCATTTCCATTTTGTCTACTCACAAGTATGTTAATCAGATATTAGTGATTATATATGAGTGCATGCATGGGACTATCAGTTTCCCCTACTTCATATCATATCCAAAATGTTATGGAAAACAAGGGTAAAAGCAAAAAAAATTTTTTATGAAATTAAGGAACTGTATTTTTATGAATATGTTCATACTCTACTAAGGTAAGATGCATCAATGCAGATCCAGTTTTGCTATGGTTATCCATCGGTCTAAGAAGAAATATGTCCCAGCAATTGAACAATAATGGCTACAGAACTTTGGTTATTCCTGTTGCTTTTTTCACTACTACAGAATTGGACATCACTGCCGGTCTTATCTCTACCGAATTTTAAAAAACCGACAGTGATAGCCTATCACTGTCGGTTTTTGGCTAAAACCGGTAGTGATATGATCAACCGACACTGATATTCGGGTATTCACTGTTGGTTCATATCACTGTCGGTTTTAGCCAAGAACCAACAGTGATATTGGGTCATCACTGCCGGTTTTAGCCAAGAACCGACATTGATACTATCACTGTCGGTTCGTGGCTTAAACCGACAGTGATATGCTGTAAGAAAACTTCATAAATTTCTCATATGATGTCCGATGAAGATGAACTTTATATCAAAGTTGTAGTACTCGACGAGATCTACAACTTTGTAGTTCAAAATTTTTTAATTTAAGATCGTTTGGATGTCTAAATATTTTTATTTGAAATAATCTATCTAACGAAAATTATGTTTGATTTCTAAAATTTAAAATTTGAATTTTTCAAACGGCCTCAGATGGAGAAACGCCCAAAATAAAAGTTGTAGATCTCGAAAAGTTATGCAACTTTGTAGTTGAAAACTTTTTTTATTTGAGATCATTTACTACTTGAAAATGATATTTGAAAGTAAAATTTAAAATTGTTGAATAACTCTGATTTCTCTTTTTAATCTCTGGCTAAAACTTATAATTAGTCCTTCTCCCTCTGACTTCAAATTTGATGATTTTTTTTTCTAAAAAATTATAAAATCATGCTCTATCAATTTATTGTGTTCTTACCGCTATTATTCTATCCATCTTTTTATGTGACTGTGTTTTATCTATTTAAATTTTGAATTTCCAAAAATAACAACTTCAAACGTTATTTTGGAACACTAAATAATTTCAGCTGAAAAAATCATAAACATAGAAGTTGTAGAATTTATCAAGATCTATAACTTTTATTTTGATCATTTTTTCATCCGATAAAGTGATAATAATTTTGTTCACAAAATTTACATCTCTCTTATAGTTTCATAAACAATAAGAGGATATGTAATATTTATGAACAATGTTACTACTACTATGTCGGATGAATAAATGATCAAATGACTAAAATAGAAGTTGTTGATCTCGAAAGTTATAAAACTCTGTAGTTGATAACTTTTTGATTTGAAATCCATCTTGTCAAGGAAAATTATGTTTGAATTTTTAAAATTTGAAATTTAAATTTTGTAAATGACCTCGAGATGGAGAAACTACCAAAATAAAAGTTGTAAATCCCAAAAAGTTATGAAATTTTATAGTTGACAACTTTTTGATTTAAAATCATCTTCTCAAGGAAAACTACGTTTGAATTTCAAAAAAAAATTGAAATTTGAAATTTTTAAACGACCTCGAATGGACAAACAGCAAAAATGAAATTTTTAGATCTCAAAAGGTTATGAAACTTTGTATTTGATAACTTTTGATTTGAAATCATCTTGTCATGGAAAACTACGTTTGAATTTCTCAAATTTAAAATTTAAATTTTATAAACGACCTCGGATGGAAAAACTATTAAAATAAAAGTTGTAGATCTCAAAAAATTATGAAACTTTATAGTTGACAACTTTTTCATTTAAATTTGTTTAGGGTTCCAAATACTCATTTTAAAATTAGATGAACATAAAATGGCTAGGACGAAAATCTCATTTGGACATAAACAACTTACGGGTGGAGTGGTTAGGGGCTGAAGATGTGAAGCAGGACGACAGGGGTTCGAGCGCCGGTGGCCGCGAAACACGCGTTTTTCGGGCGAAAAGACTTGCGACGGGCGACCGTGTGGCTGTCCAGTGGAGCCTATCCCGGTATTAAAAAAATTCCTCATTTTTTCAATTTATTTTTTGGCTTTCCTAGAAACCACATTACTGCCGGTTCTCATCATTATCGGTTCATAAGAACCGGCCGTGATGTCAATCCCACATCCCTGCCGGTATACCACTGCCGGTTCAAAATCCGATAGTAAAGGGGTTTTTTGAACCGGCAGTGATATCAAGATCTGGGGTAGTGTTTGTAACCTGTTTTGTTTCTTGATATTTGTTGCTGTACCTTTTGCTTTACCAATACATAATAATATATATTGAGTAGGGACTTCTTCGTCACCTGTTGCTTCAAAAAAAAAGGCACCATTGCACCATATATATCATCAGCGTGAAGATGCCATTGACCCAATGAATATACCATTTTCCTCAAAAAAAAATCAAGATAGATACTATTATCACTTAATCAGTATTCTTCACAAATGATCAACATGTATACAAGTTTCAATATGAACTCTTTCCCGTGGGAACTGTATGTGCTAGCTAAATTTAATTCTATTTCTTCTGAAAGAAAAACACCTCCACGCCCAGCTGTCACTTTATTAGTTTGATATGGAATCAAAGTGTTTTCATACCGACCGGTGCACTAGCTCATCATCATGAATGCATGAGCAAATGGTCTATGTACCCTACTGCTCCCTTGGTCACTTGTGTGCATCATATTCATAGCTACCAACCATGCATGACAGCATGAGTGGTTCCTGTACCAAAACTTACCAAACAAGTGCCTCTCTCTCTGCATTTAGATTTTAGCTAGACATGATGTCCTTGCTTGCTCCTTCCATGGAAGTTCAGTGCTGAAAAGTTCAAGAGTTCCAAGTGATATTCTCTCTTTTTGACGACGAATATATATAAAGTGTGGGTAAAGATAACAGAACGTACGCAAGCAATGCGATGCAATGCAATGTCATGCTTAAAAACAGGAAAGGGTGGTTAGAGAGTAGCTTTCAGGGCACAAAGTAGATAAGGATCGACTGTTGCAAAGTATTGAAAGCTGAGGGACTTATTAACAGATCAAATAGAAAAGGCTACGGGGCCTCCCTGAATAACAGAGCATATGTCTTCAGGCTATATGCATGCACATTATATTAGCTTCTACTGCATCATGCATCTTTGTATCTTTTATTATCGGTATTAATTAGGAGTCAGACTCAAACATGAAGTCCTGAGAGCACCTATGTGTAGCTTTTCGTCTTAGGATGCATGGCTTATCACGTTTCTGAACAATCTCCTTGTTTCATTACTGTCGTAACACATGACTAGCGCGCCAATTAAGCGGTGTCTGGAGTGAAAAGAACATCCTACGTCGCCTACTAAATTCTGTATACATCACATGTGGTTTGTATTTGAAGCTGCAGTTAACTGGATGTAGAAAATTCATATAGAAAAACAGTTGGACCGATCGAGCAACTTTTAGCTTCAGGGTTTGAGGAATTATTTATGACTTGATTGATCTCCTAATAAAGGTTTGGTGTGAATCATATATATGATATGATGATGGCAATATATAATTTTTTTTTGGAAAAAACATATATGATGATAATATTGCACATACCGACTTCTGCTCTCCATTTTATTTACATCTGAAGGTTTCACTTCTTATCAAGTACTGTTTCACAGACCATAAACATCTATTACATATTCTGGTGATTCTAGTTTCAGTTAGAGGATGTCGTCCTAATACATGTATGTTATCCTTGTTTTTTAATATGTAAAAAGCTAGAAGCCGAACACCTACTAATAATAATCTTAAAAGAAATAGCACTCGCCAAAGGGCGCCTAGCTCAAACGGTTAGGTGACCCAGCGGTATTTCTCAGGTCCTGAGTTCGACTCCTCGTGGGAGCGAATTTTAGGTTAGGGTTAAAAAAATCCCCTCGTCCGTCCCCATGTGCCAAAGCGCAGTTATGGCCCGGCCCGGTTCTCACAGGACAACGGATACCGTTGCGTCAGGATGGGGGCGGGGGTTTTCTCGATCTGTATGAGAAGATCTTCTTCTTAAAAGGAAAACCCAGAGGCCATCATAACCCCCGCAGGACGAGTTTTTTTTAAAGAGAAATAGCACTCCATAGGCGGCGTTCGGCTGGTCTGAAAATTTCAGACCAGCCGGCTGGTCCGGCTTGTTCTCCTCACAATGCTACAGTGCATCTTTCAGCCGCTACAGTATTTTTCTCTCACAAAACCAGCCGCTACAGTGTTTTGGTTTCTTTTTTCCAGACAAGCGAACGGGGCCATACTCGTATGCATGATGGACAATGTTGGGTTCCATGTTACCGAAGCTTCTAACCAAAAAAGGTATCACACAATAAGTAAAACATAAGCCATTTAATTAACTAATCAACAATCCGAAATAGCTAGCACCGTTTATTTTTAAAATTCTAGATGACTAATTAACTATGTAAAAGGTCATAATGGCTAGAGGGGGTGAATAGCCTATTAAAAATTTCTACAACAACACTTAACAAACCGGTTAGACAATTATGAGGAGAAGCAAGTGTTGCGCTAGCCTACTAAAAATGTAAGCCACCTACCACAATTCTAATTTCTATAGTTTCTAACCACACAATGGCTATGTCACTATACTAAGTTAGTGTGCTCTCAAAAGCTAACTAAAGAGCCATACTAACCAAACTAACAAGCTCTCACAACTAGCTACACTAAAGAGCTTGATAACTAGTTTGCGGTAATGTAAAAAGAGTGAGCAAGATGGTT